AGATTTGGCAATTTCTGGCTGAACGATCGACTCGATCAAGCTCGAGTTCTTGAAAATTGGCTGTGTAAATGAACGAAGATAATACGTTCGTCTGTTCTCGATTGAACGAGTTGATCGTAGTTTTCAGTTGCCTAATGCAAACGGGACTCTAACTGGACGCATTCGACATCATTTCATCCCTCCCAAAGTACCGAGTACTCTTAGCCTACTTGCTCTTTGTTTTCAATTATGTTTACTCTGAATATGCGTGAATATACGTGTGCAAAATGGCGGTTTTTCATCTCCTTCGTGCATACACGCGAAGAAGAACTCCTCAAACGAATCTCGCAAGTAAAGCGAAGTATCGTTATCATTTACTGCGCCAAATACCGGGCGAAATAACTTTCAGTTCCCGTTAATGCGAAAAAACGATAAAATCGCGATCACGCCGATTGCAACGAAATCCCGGGCCAAACGAAGAATTTCCTAGATTGTCCTCGATAAATCAAGGGGAAACTCTCAAGACAAGGAAGTCACAACAAAAAAAAAGGTTGATTTCTTCGGAAGATTTTTGCGGTAACGATGATCCTTATTTACTATATATGGTAGCGCACTTGTTACAAAATGAAAAAAGAGGGGGGGAGGGGAGAAAGAGAGAAAATGTTCCACGAGTCGATTACAAAAAGTTCAAGGAGTGTGTTATTATCCTTTGGCAAGGGGGGAAATTCGATCGTCAAGAAATGGTTGAAAAAAAGAGTATAAAAGACGATGATCGAGCGTGGGAAAAGGCAACAGAGAATCTCGATCGATCGTCATCGTCGATTTCCCCCCCTCCCCCGACGAACGCGCGTAAAATGTTTAAAAAAGAACAGTTGGGAGATTTGAATCTCCCGCCAGTACTCGCGGTTCTCCAAAATGGCCGCGCCGCAAGGTCTCACTCCTCTCCGCCAAGTCCCACCCACTCTCCTTTTCCTTCGCTTCTCATTCCCCACTTCTACTTCTCATCGACGCACCGCTCAAAACTGTCTGTCTCTCTCCTTCTTCCGTTTCTCCTCCTCATACACATGCACGTAACGCGTTTCTCGTGCATGTGTACGCATGGAAAGCAGGCACACACACACGCACGCACACACACACAGAAAGGCAGACGCGCGTATACGAATGGTTACCATCTTCCTATTCTTTTTGTTTTGCTTCAAAAAGAAAGAAAAAGAAAAAAAAAGAAAAAAAGAGGTTCGTCTCTATTTTACGTCCGGCACAACAAGGCACTCCCTTCTTCTTCTTTTTCCTCTTCTGTTTTTTGCTCAGCTCCATTCAGGCACGCCGTCACGCATGATCATCACCGTATCCCCTTTCCCCGAAAACAACGAGGCAAACGAGAAATCGTAAACGACGTGGGAATCCAACGTGAACGAGTATCGGCGACGATATCGGTGTCTCATGGCGGAAGCTGCTGGCTCCAACACAAGAGGACAATATCGCCGCGTTCGCAAAGCTAGTCGAGGCTAGACCATCAGACGAAACAATACATGTCGGAGAGTCCCGTCCGCTAAGGTTGGCTCAGAACTGACCCGAGACCGCCATGATCTGGCAACCAGAATGCACGTGGTCCATCACCTGCTCCTTCAACCGGCACACGTGCTCCTTCAGCCTGTGCACCACCGCGCTCAATTCGCTGTTCTCGCCCTTCAACAACTTAACCTTGTCCTCCAGCCTGGAGATGCGCTCGAGCTTGCGCCTGCGGCACTTGGACGCGGCCACGCGGTTCCTCTGACGTTTCCTCTCCAGCTTGATCCTTTCCTGATTCTCCATGTCGATAGGCGACATCGGCGGTGAACTCGACACGCTCGGCACAGTTTGTGGCTCGTCCTTGATCTGAACCAAACCTTGACTTACCGAGGATTCCGTGCTTTGCACACTGTTTGGCGGTTCCAAGGTCGTGTACGTAGCTCCGTGAAGACTACCAGGCTCCTGCGAGCTGTCCGAATGATGCAGCTCGTTCAGAGCATCGACGAAACCTCGAGCGTACAACTCTTGGGCCTCGGTGACCGCTTTTGGGAAGAGAATCTGCGTAGGCGTCGGCAAATTCGTTACCAAGCTATCCTGCTGGGCGATAATCAGCTTCTCCAATTCCGGCGAGCCGAGTTTCAGCATGTTCAAGTCCGGTGAGCTTAATATCGGGGTTACGTTGTTTAACGCAGGCGGCAGAGGCCCGAGACGCGGCCTCTTCGCCTGAGGCCCCTGTCGCTGGCATCCGTTCAAGTCGAGCGTCAGGTTACGCTTCAACTGGCCCACGTTGTTCTCGCGATTCACGGCGACGTAGACGCCCGTGTCCTCGTAGAACGTTTGCTCCATCGTCGAACTTCGCACCATCGATGCCAGATAAAGGGCTCTGGACTACGTGTCAATCCGAAAGTCCGCAACTCTGTTGAACGAGCCGCGCGCGATGATACTGCACGTATACGAAACGGAATCGAGCGTATCGCCGACTCCGTCGCTCAACACATGTGCACAGCTCTCACCGACGCTTCGAAAAGCGCGATCGGTGATCGATCAGTTCCTTTCTGTCTATCCGCCACTTGACTGTTATACTCACCACACACGCGTCGCTAACGCATACGTTTTCTGCACTCCCGAGCACTCCCGTCTGGTTGGTTGGTTGGTTTTTCGCTCGCGGTTACATAACCATGCGACGTATTTCAACGAGCCGCGATATCAAGTCGAAGTTTCAGACGGAAAAGGTGCGTGGTGTTTCGTGCGGTAACTAACGCGTCGTGCACGCATATGAGGCTCGTGCCTGTCCTGACCTGTCCCGGCTTGTCTCGGCCTCGGAGGTCAACAGCGACACGAGGACCGATTTGGTTCAACTGTCAACACAACAATGACTCACAGCACGCAATCCGACGAACGTGATGTTCTGCGCGTGTGCATCTCCAGGACAGGCTGCAATAGTACACCGAATGTGAGTGTCACTCGGCTGCACAGCACGACGTCTCGACAACTTGTGAACACCCAACTAAATGTACAGCCTTATATTCCGTGACTCACGTTCACTAAAAATAGCTCCGTCGTCATCGAAACACGCAACTATTGGTCGCTTCTAACGTCACTCGCCATTCGCCATTGGCTGGTCAATCGGCGCTACTAAGAAATGGCTGGTGCATGCGCAGTCGCGTATTGTTACTCCCGTGGAGGGAGAGTTTGAACGCCGGTACGCGCGTTTAAAGACGCGACTTTTACTCGCACAAATTCGTGTTATTTTCGAGGCCTGATAATAGCGGTGCTCTATGATGTTGCATAAATAATGCAAGCGCTATTGAACAGCAAAAATATCGCTCACTTCTATATCCCCCAAGAGGATTTACCGTGCGTACTAAATCTCACGTTGTTACACTAACATACATCTTTTCTTTTTTTTCCTTTCAACTTTGCTATTCCACTCCTATCCTGTGAGTGGGTGTTTACACGTTCTCGCTGCGTGTGTTGCAAGATCAGCTTGTCTTCGAGAACAGCGCGTCTTCGAAAACATCCAAGAATTACACTGAAGATTTAATAATGCCACCTTGTTTCTCAAACGATGTCTGCTTTCATTTGGAATGAGAGCAGACAAATTTAAAAAAGACCATCGGGTCGACGTTTACGAGAAGATCGGTAACCTTGTTGTTTTACGTTTTTGATGTACCGGCTGCGTATAATTACACATGGAAACACGTTAATGGTAACCATCCGTTGCATAATCTCGTATCAAGCGAGTCAATATACCACTTGCAATTGTTTCGTGCTATCTTCCATGCACTGCTTATAATTGATTATCCGTATATTGAGAAGCATGTTCTGCAATCTTAATTGGTACTAATTCATTGGAATTTCGCAATTCGAGTTCGATGTTTGAACACTTCCCTTCCTACGTATATGGTTGTCGAACTTGGATATCGTAATTTTTGTAAAATAATATACATACCGTTGCATTTGTTTGTTTGGTCTCAAATAGTAATTACAACTATATATACATTGGATATATAGTACTTTTTTACTTATCGCTAAAAACTACTGTTTCGACTTACCAGACGTAGATTTTTCCCGGTCGTTTGTTTACGAGAACAGCAACACTTGTTTGTTTATTTCAGTTGACCCAGAATCAGAGCAAGTAAAATGTTTACGTCCATAGAGCCTCATCGCACCACTCGAATAATTTTTTTTTTTTTATCAATTAAAAACTCGACTGAAAATAAAAAAAATAAAACGAAAATTCATCTTATAGAAATAATAATAGCAATAAAATATAAATTATTGTTACGTTGTATAACACAATTTTAACTTTATTTAATATTCACGTAATAAAAGTTATCGTGCGAATATCTAATTATTTTTCTTAGCACTTTGCGATAGCATAAGCACGAAAACTACAAAACAGTTTCATGCCTATGTCGGCTATGCAAATTAAGCATTGACCTCAAGTTTAGACTTTTTAGCAACAGAAAGTTCCGCGTACGTACGCCCACGTTCCGCAATCGTTACCAAGTTGCAGATCAATTATGTTAGCGACAATTATGGTCACAGCGAATTATCGCAATTCTTCTAGCTCTATATCTTTATTTATTATCACCGTTAGCTATTATATCAACTATTAAGTTATAGATTTCAAGCTAAACAAACGTGGTAAAAAATAATTCTAAGAAATACTTTTCGAATGAAGAAGTTAAGAAATGTTAAAAGACACGAATAAAATAAAAATAAAAACAGAATTCTTTTTTTTTCATTAAAAATTTTCATTTTCGATATATACATAAAAACTGCAATATGTTTCAAATTTTAAGAAATAATTTATTTAGTTTTGAGTTTTTTTTTTTT